GCAACGACGCAGTTGCGCCTTACAGCGGTGATCGAAGCAGCACACACTGCGCCAGGCACAGCAACCGAGCCGAGCTTTAGTTCTCCAGTGAAAGCCGGACAGAACGACGAAAGGCATGCAGTGAGGGAGTGCACGATTAATCTGTGGATCAATGAGGCGGCTGCCAGCATTTGTTTCGCGCTTAATCTGCGATGTCCACTTCAGAGTGACCTTCAATTACTGCCTCCGTCATACGGTTGCTGGAGTACTTTCGAAGCCTACTCGTCCAGGTTCTAGGTTGTTTGCTAGGAACCCACAGGTGGATTCGAAAGAAAGTAATAATGTCACTGAATAACAGTAACCAGACGTAACAACGACGCGTTTTTCTCTGAACTACCTTCAAGTTCTGAAACATCGCTGTGCAATCACGGACCCATAAATATGTATTTGAAAAATATATACGTTTCGAATGGCATAAATAATGTCGTTGATTCCAACTTAAATACTGGACGGCGAATCAAAATAAAGCATCAGCAGTCAGTGAAAAAGACGGTGAATAAATCTATAAAACACTACGCCCACCGGTAGAATCCTGCTATTTATGCAATTGACAAACAACTGTTTCCACAGTGAATATAAACAAATGCCCTCAATTGTGAACCATTAATTTTACAGAGCGAACAGCCACAACTGTGGTGGTTCCGACGTGTGATAAGGATGCCACCGAAGAAAATCCCCATTCGTTATTATGGTAGCGAAAATGGCTCGATTATACGGAAAACCAAAAATTGCCATGCCTTAAATATTGAATGAATGTTGTACTTGTCTATTTGACGGCGGATTACCACCATCGGTATGAGCCATTGCAGCAGCTGCTCTGTGACCCGAAAGGAAGGGTGGGGTTGCAATTGAATGAATGAATACAAATGGATCTTCTTCAATGGAATAAACAAAGTTATACTTTCTGTACAACTACGTTGACAAACTTAAATGAACCTACGCTTCCAACGCCAAAAATTAGGTTGTTTCTTCGTACATATTTATTTATTTATTTATTTAACGACTGCATTTTGTGCGGATTTTATTTAACTATTAGATTAATCAAAGCGGATTCCGACACAAATCGCAAACATGATACAACTCTAACGCGCTTTGACATTATAGGATCAAAACACTGGGTTGACCTCTGTTCACAGGGCACTGACTTGAACTGCCCGTTTCTCGGCCACTAGGTGTGGTGAATTCCTCATAGAATGGAATGGACAGTTAAGAGAGTTAATCCCATCTCTCACCCCCTTAACCATTTCTGATCAAACGACTATCATGCAACAGGTATTGGTAAAAGTTATACTCTGACGGAGTGGTGATGACACTTCAAAGTGAAAAACGTGCTCGTGAGAAGCCTGCTGCCAAGAAACGTGCCCCTGATTGGAAAGATGAGAAAAAGTGCTGATTGGAAGCGAAGTGAGGTGAACGCAGGTTGGTTCCAACGCTCAAAAACAAGTATGAAAGAACCAATCAGTCTTTGAAGAAGTTCATCGCACAGATTTTTGCTGTGATACCACGTCTTATGTCGAGTGAAGACTCTGATTGTGATGACCTTAGATTTTGGGATCTATGGTCAGCATTGGTCGTGGACGTGTGGCGAGTCATCATTTATGTCTAGAATTTAAAATAAAATTTATGAATGGGCAACAGTCCGTCTAATGCCCAAATGCAGACCAATGTACAAGCGACGATCGGATGGGCCTCCACCGCAGCAGACCGATCTTAACATCGCGGACAATCCCATTCCACTTCTAGTACCTTCATGCTGAAGACATAGTAAGACGCTAAACTCATCAACTAACGATAAATCATTAATCGCGACGCTTCACCTATTTGGAACTCCTGTTTTTATGGTAAGGTTAATAATCTGCTACATATTACAGGTTTCAAGTAAATACGCCGACGTGCCCACGACGAAGAGAGCCATCAGTGACCATAGTACGGCATCGTACGTCAAAGGAATCACTTTGAAGGACTGTCATGCACCAGAAACCGATTTGCGCCCAATGCAGGTATGTGGAGCTGATTGCCATTCTTACACTTGCAACGCCAATTTGCCCAACAGAAGGTCGCTCTGATCACTCACCTAAACGAAACAAATTCCGATGATTGTACTTGACCTTCGACGGGGCCAAGTAAAGTAGTAAACTATCTTAATAGAAAATTCCATCGCTTAGTCAACTCCAGCAGCAAGTCGCAGAAAGGCGATGTGGTAGACGTTGGCAACGAAGAATACTATAACATGTCCTTTAGAAATGCGCTAGCTTGGAATCAAACTTGACTTGACAGGAAAACTTGAGGTGTATTACGATGACTGATGCAATTATTAATATCGCAAATATATGGCCATTATATGAACAATAATAAAACGTGGCATAAGCATTGTTTCATGAAACACGGGGCACTCAATTGCTCTGTTTGGATAATAGAAAACCGCTTCTCGAATAGTAATGATATGAAGAGGATCAAAGGCGACACAATGGATTTTAACATTAGTCAATACGTGTAGAAATATTAAATATGCAAGCATCGCTATATACCAAGACTGCGAAAACGAAACTTCCACCTTCACAATAACAAGAAGGCGAAAGGTCAGTGGAGTTCGAAGTGCAGAAGAACATATACATGAACAGTGGATATGACTATCATTTATAATCAAACAGACTTCGACATTTCAAGACAGCATCAAGATCAACAGTGTTGTTTTGGGCAAAGCTTGAGGATACTTTGCAACCACGTGAAGACACTTATCCTGTTAGATTATAAAGATCTGAGAAACGAGCTGGAACCGAACATTTTGAAAGCTTGTTTGTCTGACTACCTGCAGCGTGAAGCTGAGGGCTTTCGTCAAAGCTTCATGTAAAGAGGACAAAGGTGCCTAATTGCGATAAAGCCTAGGGTCTAGCGAAAGAGTAAATGGCATAGAAAACTAGATGGCGAGACCCCGGACGAAAAGAGGAAGCTAAGAAAATATGAGGAATAATTTCATTAAGATGGTGATAATAATAGAATATTTTGAACTTCCGTATAACCGATTTAAACGACAATGGAAACACTAATCCTAACATTGAAAAACATGAACGTGTAATCTACGCGATTGATTTAAGTGGCAAATCATCAATCAAAATGGATCAAACAATAGTGTGCATGTAGAAAACAGGCCATCGCTAATAATACTTTAAATGCTGTTTGACTATGCCAGCGCAATTAAACAATTTTCTTCCTTAGTGATAAATTTTCGGAAACCATCAAAAATACCATCTGTCAATACTAATGCCCAATATAACAATTGTCTCTCTAAAATCCATTCCGTTTTGAAGAACGGACGCAGGGACCAATGGCGATCGGCTAACGCCGCAATAATTTCCGGGGTCGACAGGTGTATTTTGCGCACTTTCCGGAGGTTTATCCAAAAGAAATGCACACTACTGTGATTAGAGATCGAGGAAGAAGGACTACGGATAAGCGTCCGTCTGTATTTCTGAAGAAAATTGTTTTACACCGTGCCGTCCACTTCTGAAAAGGGGATGATGATTGTTCGTGGAACCGCGGAAGCATCTGAGTGAAGCTTCATGAATGACATTTTTAATGAAAAAATAACATAGTTCGCTTTTCCAGGATGGCTAACTTATGGACTTGAAAATCACGATCAGTCATATCGACATTTGTCATCAGAAACTACACACAAAAATCATAAGCCTCTCAGCATGGTCGGTAAGAGTTAAATGCTATATCGTTGGAACCAGATGACTTTTCTGGTTCGGTTTTTAGCAATATAGCAAAGATAGAAACAGTCATATATTTACTTAGCACAAATCAAAGTTTCGATCGAATGACCACCAGTCATCATCAGGATAACGTTTCCAATAAATCGAACCATTCCAACTGGGATTTTTCAATGGGTAGTGCGTCAAACGCAGAACCTAGGGGTTTCGAGTTTGAGCCTCTTTCGCGCCAGTGGTTTTCCTCCTTTCCAAGGTTGACAAATGATCATCACTATGTGGACAGGAAGCAGAATCTACACACTATGCTTTCCACATGGCTGCTGTAGATTATGTTATAAAATGAGGCAGCTATTGCTGATGCCATGGAAATGGAGATCAGCGTCCCATCATTAACTTTATGACAAGAAAGACTCCAAAAATGATCATATCATGAAACTATAAGGAAGACCGGTATTCCAAGGGTTAAAAATTTCCTCCCTTTTGTAACCAGGGAATTAGCGAATATATTTGTTTCTAATCTTGCTCATGGCAAAGAGTTGATATGAGATTAAAAACCTATTTACCACACTACGAGGATTGAGTATAGTCTTGAATAAAAGCCAGGAAAAGGATGAGTTTAGAAACAGATGTAGTTGAAAGAAGAGCGAAGTTACTTGGGTGCAAATTGAGAAAACGGCAATAATTTTAACAAAAGAGAAGCCATTGAAATCGATTTAATTCTAAGGTTCATAATGAACGAGAATATTGGAATATGATTGCCAAACAAATTCTAAAATTTAAATTTAAAAAGTTGATCATTGAATGCTAGACAGATAAGGCTTCAAGAAAGAAGGAAAGGAGTAGGGCAGAGCAAAGGGATAACAATCAAGGACCAGCTAAAGGAAGAAAAGTTGGAACCATTTTGTCACCCTACAAGATGAGAGGGAGTGATATAAGCAGAAGAATACGGAAGCCTGAAGTTAAGGATTCAAATTGTAGAAAAAAGTGAAGGAAGTCACAAACGACAAGATATTGTGGGGATGCAAACTACATTTCCTAGTGAAGCAGATTGATCTCTCACGTGAGAAATCCATAATAATGAGAGGAAAGAAAAGAAAGGAAATTTGTAACCATTTGAATGAAGGTCTTCTTGCCTGCCCTACACTTTCGTTATGGCGTCATTCCTGACACAATGCTTTCCATGAAGTAAATGCTGGGCCTCTGCTTTTCATTTTAATGTCATAGTCTAGGTTATTTTTAAAGGCAGAGTTGTTGCGAGCATCCAGAGGTATTTGGAACATAAAGAATGCTCCATATACGTACTTCGAGTAGTTGGTCTGGAAGAAAGTATTCCGTCTGTCACGTTTGCGAAAGGGACAGAAAACGTTAAGAGTCTCTTTCAATAATCACCCCTCCCACGACAATGCGTGAGATTTATAGGCGGATATTGAAGCGGACTTCTGTGGAGCACAGAGTCATATGAAATCAAATGAAGGTTCAAATGAAGATGAATTCTTCGTTCATCACTTCTGATTTTTCGTTTCTTATATGACCAATAGACCAAATTCGGTGACGATCCGATTCAAATCCTAGACCAGTTCTTGCAACAACATTCATATCGTTCATGAATCGCGACACTAATTTAGTCTTTCAATATGTCACA